AAAATGAAGGACAAAGGTAATCGATTCTGCCAGAGCCTGTCAGACACAGAAAAGTGGTTTATTTTCCTTTGCCTTTTTAACATTCATAGTATGAAATTCAAGCTTTAGTGTAACAGTAGGAGTGAATTTCATTTCTGGCAGTGAGAAATGGGCATCAGTCACTTCTGGGATTATTTAGGTCAATTGCAAGAGCATTTCTTTAGAGTAAGAAATACAGAAGCCAAAGAAGAAATGCAAAAAATTATGTCACTGATGAGCATGTAGCATGACATCTACAAAGCAAAAGGCATTTTCAGGAATTTTTGCACAGTGATAATAATAATTTTCTATAGTCTAGCACGTAAAGCATCAGCATTGTTCCCAGTGAATTTAAAAGAGGACAAAAGAGTGGTTCTGCATAGCAGGCTGTACTGAAAGAATCACACAAATACATAATGGAGAAGTCCACAGGGGGAGAGCGGCTGAAGGAGCAATACAAAAATACTACACTTAACTTGACTGTAAAAGCAGCTTGAAATTGTTAGCAAAAGACATGGAGACATTATGTGAAATTATTCAAGAGAGAGGGAAAACAGATGGTGGGCAGAGAAACTTATTTAAAGAACTACATTTTGTACAGAACAAAGAAAACTGAGATGATCTACAAAGAGAACAGAGATAAAAACTCAGCTGAGACTGATTTCCAGCCTACAGAGAGGAGCTACATAGTGGTGACTCATCCTAAAACCCCAAAAGAATAGCTTCAAACCCAAAGGACAGACTACTCATTTATCCCCCTTGTAACAAAAGGGAGTACTATTTGTCACTAGTACTTGAGATATGAAGATCACATGAAGAAGACAGACGAGAGTGAGTACCAGTGACAGGGGGCACTAACTAAAATTAAAGGCTACTGTGATCTCACAAACTTATTTTAATTCCATTTCAAGACTACCAGCTACCAGTGTCAGCATGCATGCAGATTAGAAGTCCTTGATTTCAAATATAAATGTTGACTAAATCAAAAAGAAGCTAAAAAGTAAAATGAGGAGGCTTGTGAATGAGGCTGACATGGCATGCCATGCCATGACTCCCTATACCTCAGCTTACAAAAAACATGCATCCCTATCTTTACCAGCAACTTTCATTTCTACCACTGGTCAAACTGGAATTCTATTCCTTCCTCTACATGGCAGTTATTCGAAACTTCTAATGGAAAAGGACAGAAAAGACTTGATCCTGCGATCACCTGAGTCACTTTGCAGGTGCTACTATAATTATTTTATTCATGTAATTGGGTTATTCCTTCATTTTTCTCACACTTCTGTTACCTCATGCCTGTGGTTAGGTGCCAATATTTAAATGGCAATACCAGGGTATGCTTAATATCTAACATTAGGTATAATAAATTCTGTTTTACATATGAAATTTTCAGCCACATTTAGAATATCGGTTGCTAAGAAAAATTCTTTCTTTTCTTTCTTTGTAGTACCATTAATTTGATCAATTTTAGGTAATTAATAACATCACAGTATTAGAAAGAAAATGTGACAGTTCAAGTCAAATAGCATTATCAACTATAATATAATAGCTTTTTCATCCAGTAAATAACATCTAATGATTTACTCATGTAGGTTTGAGACACTAAAAATACTGAATCTATTAAGATCCTTAGATTTACCACAGCAATATATTCCTCTGCACTTTAATTTATAGTTTTACTGTGAGAAGTGAACTATGTCCTAAGTGGCACAGCTCACGAAGGTTTAAATTATTTGAAGTCCTCCAGGATCATATGTCTAATGTATATGACTGGCCAAACCGCAGGTCTTCACAGGCAGCTATCCAGCAGAAAACACCAAATGCTGAAATTCAGTTCAGCATTTTAGGCTGGCTGAATCTGGGACCTACTGTCTACTTAAATTCCAGGATCAGTGTGCTCAAATCAATAGAAAAAAGGATAATTAGATTTTCCTGGTAAATTCTGCTCTTCAAAATTAAATATTAAATTTTGATAGACCACAAAATGGTTGTGGTCTAAATTTGTTCTGGCTTCGGGTCCAAATTAATAAGAACTGTAAAGACATATAGGCCCTCCTGCACTTAATAGAAAAAGGAAAGTTCACTGCTGGGTACAGCTACTTTTTGAGTGGGCTGAGCACTTCTATCTTCCAAATCCACCCACTCGTGAGACCAACTAATCTGGGGCTCCATCTTGATAATATGATCCTCCTTTTCCTTACTCGTGGTCCCTGATCAGTGGCAAAGCAGTTAACATGGTATTGTAGTAACCACTGAGAACATTCATCTCAGATCTGCAGAAACTCAGATGTCCTAACAGATGTCATGGCTTTAGTTCTGTGCTGCTTGCAAGTCCAAAGTCTTCTTTGTAATTGCAAGAGCTACATGCTACAGGAATATGTGAAAACTTTGAAACCATAAACAACATGGAACCAAACAAAGACATCTGCTTAGTTTTCTGAGAACCTGAGACGACAGCTCTGAAATGTGAGATGCTCCAGCTAATCTTACAAATAAGATGCTTTCTGATAGCCACATACAGCTATAATTACCCCTCAGTTTCACACAGAGAATCCATTTTTCCTTGCATGACTTTTTAGAGTCAGCTATAAATAATGACAACTTAATCTACATTTCTGCTGTGCATGTCCAGGACTAAATCCAGTTTGATTGTTCCAATCTGTGCTGACTTCTCAACTATGACTAGACTAAAATAGTAAAAAAAGACTTGTTATCAAAGTAACTCCACAGCTTCACACATTTGCAGAAATACATCTGATAGCACTAATATATACATATAAATATATATATATATATACATATATATGCAGGCATACATATATTTATATATTGTCTGATTTATACCAGACTAAGTGAATGAATATCTTTATTATGGCTATCATTCACAACACCTGATAATCAAGTGAAAAGAAACTATATGTAAAATAATTTATGCTGTCTTTTCCAAGTTTATTAAAAATGTTGGGTACTTCATATACAGATTTTGATTTGCGATGTTTATGGTCTGCGAATCTGAAGCAGAGGTGTTCATTAGTGCTAATGACACTTGTCATTCAATGACACCTCTGTATAGAGAGACATTCCTGAGTTTGAGCTATCTCAGGACAACCTTTGCTTCTGACAATGAAGGTATCAAAATTCATTAAAAGTGTGTGCAAAACTGCATCATAAAGAACTAAATATTACCAAAAGTAATGAAAAAGAATGATACTAGCTTGTACTCACTGAAATATCCTCAAGTACTCACTCACAAGATCTGTGAACCTAAAGCAGTGGGAATATTCAATGTGCCTGTATATTCAATCTGATACTCAAACTGAGAAGTAGACAGAGGGTATTGTCAGTCATCTGTCTCCTATGCACAGTTGGCTTGCAAATTAAGTAAATGTGTACAAGTGGGTAGCAGTAATCCACAGTGAGAACAAGAGTGCAGATATTATTTAAAACAAAAAAATGCATATGGCACAAGCAGTAAATGAATCTCCTTCGCGAAAGTAATGTTTTTGCTACTCCAGCTAATCAGTGCTAGTGCACCTGGATCCTGAATATTTATGACAGTGACATACATCTCTTAAATGTTCAGAAATAATTAGACTTTGCTGAAGCAAAGCTAATGAATTCCCCTGGAACTCTGTGGCAAAATAAACAGATGAAAGGTATTAATAAGCATTCTGTATTCCTTAAAAGAAACCCCAACAAACCCAAACAAATATCCTCCACAACTGTTTTTTTCCAGCCCTGATTATACTTTGTACAAAAATATGCAGTCCAAGATTTTCTCTCCTTACCACTGCAATTTCCCCATTTGCAACACTGCAAAATCCACACATTAATAAATCATGCAGTTTCATTTTACCTTTGCCTGCACCTACAGCAGGATGGAGAATACCAGCTTTAATGGAGGAAAACAAGAATAGGAACACTACATAATTAGATACAACACGAAAGGAAACATACATATATAATTTCACTACAAAAAACATGCAGACTAGATAAAATGTATTAATTCAAATAAATTAGAAAGAATCCATTTATGCTGAACCCTGACAGACTACTACAAGACAAAATGATTGTACATGCATTTACAAAATTTTATTGCTCATGCTTGTTAAGGTGCAAGATTTAAAATAAATGCAGTTCATATGCAAACTTAATACCCTATCAGAGAAATTGCATTGAATAACAACTCATCTATGGCAATTCCAATAAACCATAATTTTAATGAGCACAAAAATATACGAAAACATGGTACGAAAATAGATTTATTAAGATGATCAAAATTATAAAAAAGTTCCAAATTTTCTACTGGCTTTAAACTATTCTTATTTTGTTAAGCATCCGTATTTAATTAAAAACAACTCTAACAAAGCTCTAGAATGGCTACAAATATAAAAATCAATGGTGACAGGATTTATCAATATACTTGGTGTTTTTAAAATACTATACAGTTACTTGGGGCCATAGACGACAAATTTATTTAAACAGTTTTACAGTTTTTTGCCAGTTCTGTGAAAGCAATTTAGATTTCACAGAAGCCGCTGCATACTACAAAAAATAAATAACCTCCTCTAATCACAAACCCGCATCATTCTGGTATTTTTCTCTGTGACCAAAGCTGGTCAATGATGCAGAATATGTGAATAGCCAATAAACGACTAAAAATGTAAAGTTACATGAAACTTGAAGCTCAGAAAGGCCAATGTCTGTCTTAGAGCTTGTGAGTTGATATTAAAAGAAGAGGCTTTATACCTTTTTGGGGGTTCCCACTACAGCAGAAAGCTTTTACATGTATTTTCTTTAAAAATATTTAAAATGCTTTATTCGTGTATGACACAGTTAAGAAAGCTCTACAAAAAAAAATCACTTGGCCCTATTTCCTCAGTGAAAGGAAACAATCGCTATATTTAGATACAGATGTTTAATACAATCTGTAGTGGTTTTTAAACTCAAAGGACTTTCCTTATACATACATATCTTACCTTCATCCATAATTGTTACTGCTTCCTCAGTTATCTGACTTCCTGATCCAACTGAAGTTTGTGCGTTAAAGTAAAACTTGTACCGGGTGCTGTAATTTAAATTTTTTAATATCAAGCTGCTCTCGTTGGCAGGAATTCTTATCTCTACCAAGGGACCCAATTCATGTGTGTTGTTGACTGTTGTTACAATAAAAAGGAAAAACAAAAAATTAGGAAACTTGCATACACTGTCATTGCATTTTAAAGTGCTTTTGTTTTGCATGTATTTTTTTGCTTGTCTGCTTCATCTACACTTTCAAAAGAAAGTCACCTTTTGTAAAGGTGCCAAAATCCAACTGGCAGACAGGAAACACCAGCAAGTTTTTTAAGATCAAATTTCATTCTCATAAATCTCAGAATGCAAGGCAAATGAGTTCGGTTCAAATCATCTGAATTTATGCAGTGTTGAAGTCCTCCCTCACCATGGAAAAATTCTGAAATTCTAAGCTCAGAATGCTTAGGAAAAGAAAACACTGAAGCTACTTGTGTCTAATGTCAAAGAACAGTGGGATGGATTTGGTAAGTGGAAGAAGGTAAATTTCCTTTATCTGTTCCATGCATATGCAACTCTTTCCTTTCCAGCGTCACTGCTGAGAAACTTCTGGGCTAAGTAAGCAACTGGGATCCAAAAGAAGTGATTTAATAGCTCTGAGATGAGTAAATGGCACATCTATAAATTTTTCTTTTTAAGATTATAATACCGTGAAAATTGGAAAAGCAGAAATCAATGTAATTGGGCATACTTTGATTTACTTCCAATGACATTTTCTCTGCAGTTAGAATATAGAGTTTGTAAGTAGTAGTACCTTGCATCTAACTTGGATGAGACTTATCTGTAGGACCTCACCTCCACTTGTCTGTGAATTATGGTTTGAAATAATGAAAGTAATAAAAATGTTAACCTTGCACTACAGCAAGAAAAGATTTCCAAGTACAGTCATCTGTATTATCAAAATATATTAGTCTTTTTCAAATTTGACACTTACAATGCATTCATATCTTTTGTACACTATAAATTTAACATAACCTTTTCTTCATAAATGGATTATTATTTGGTAGATACATTGCCTAAGTTAGAGTTTTATCACAGAATGAAATAATGGCTTGGGTTGGAAAGGACTTGAAAGATCAGAAGTCCAACTCCCAAAATATATTAATATTGAACTTACTTGGCTGAAACTTCAGTGTATATGACGTCAAAACACCGTTTGGATGCGTGGGTGAGCCCCACTCCAGAGTCAGAGAGTCCAGTGTTGGGTTAGTAATCTTCAGAAAGGAAGGTGAACTAGGAACTTTTGAAAAGAACATAGAGTAAATACAAAGTAGATTAACTTAAAACAGGCCATTAATTATTAATTTTTAAGAATATTACTGTATTGAGAGAGATTATTATTTTATGAAGTCCAAGTAAACCCCATTTAAGTTTAATATCTAGGTTTTTCATTTCATACCTCCTTCAGGGGTCTTAAATGCTTTGTCTGGGCTTGCTGGTCCTTCTCCTTTACCATTAACAACTCTAACATTCAGCTTGTAAGAACTATAGGGCTCCAGCCCTGGTAACATTCCAAAAGTCTTGTTTCCCCTGAAAGTCAAGATCTTTTTTTCTACATGTCGTCTACTCCTTCTGGACAGACTCTGCACTTTCCAGTAGTAAACCTAAAGACAAAAAAAAAAATTACAGTGAGTGCTTAGGTTTTCTAAATTCTGAGCTTTTCCATGAGTGTCCATGAATTATAGGTAGAAATAACTGCAATTTTAATAAGCTCAGGTTAGACACAGCACAGAGCTTTCCTGCTCCAGAAACAGACCTTGTCCAGAAACAGTCTACACAATTGAGTGCAGACTACCACCTTCCAGTCTGCTAGTGCTCAAAACCAGTCTGATACAAGCTCTGGTTGGGAACTACATTGGTCTGTGATCATTCTCCTGTTATCCAGGAGGCAGAAGTTATCCATTCATTCAGTAAGATGCCTACAGGCCTTCCAAAGCAGATTTGGACTTTGCCTCCTTGTTAGATCACATCCCTGACCATGCTATTCCTTGATGTCAGGTTACCTATAAATGGGGAAGAAATCAAAAGATTTGATTTGGCTGGAAAAACACACAAGTTCTGAAATTAATCTAAGGTTACAGCACTGGAGTGATGGGAAACTGTTCCTCCAATTATGTGACAATTTGATCTGATGAGAAAGCTGATGCTGGTGTCCGTTGAGCTGACTTTCTAAGAAATCACATATGAGCCTCAGAGATGCTTTCCCTGCACTCTCTTTACTACACAGTCTCTCTACCATGGTAACTTGAAAGTTATTAATAGCTGCCCCTCCAAAAGACTTGTGCTAATCCTAAGATTGTCATCTTCAAGTACACAATTGTTTATTTTTCACAGCATCATTTTCATACACATATGATCAGAAGCTAAAAATCATTAAGAAATCTAAATGAATAAAAAAATCTATTCCTATTCAGGCCAACTGTAAAACCCCTCTTTAATTCAGGAACCCTGGATTTCACATAGGAATTCAAAAAAAGGGGCTGTTAAGACTTGCAAAGCCCAGCTAGATAGCCATAAAGCAATGTTGCACTTACACCAGCTTTCAACATACCATTTCACTCCAATCACTTTTAAATGCCACTGTGTTTTACATGGTTTGAGTTAATGTTTTTCAATATCACCAGCTGTCATCCAATAGCTCTCATCAGCTAGCGTAGAAAATCATTTACAAGCTAACAAAACTTGAAATGTTGGTACTATTGGTACTGAAACTCATAAGCTATAATAAAATAGAGTGCATCACGTTTTCCATACTTTCTTCCTAGGTTTGAAAAGCTTTATAGTACTGCAGTATATTGAGTAATAGCTAGATTAATATAAGAGCAAAATATGAATAATGTGCTGGAGAGTGCTGCTTAGTTACACGTCTTCCTGCTTTATTCTGACATTTGCCTTCAAGACGTGACTCTTTAGCCACTCTCTTAGTTCTCTCTGTTAAGAAATCTGTCCCCAGTGCAACACTGTATATTGGGCTACTGACAGAAAGAATTTTTTTCAATTAGGGGAGCCTGAGTGTGCTAGTAGGATTTTGCTTCTGCGTTTACAAAGAGCTCGTCGTTTGCTTTGTAAAGCTACATCAATGATGAAGATACTTAATCCATGAAAAGTTTTCAGTTTGTATTGAGAGAAAGCTTTTTAATAATAGCTTCCCACCAGGTCTTATGATTTCTCATGCCTTGTCTAGTCTTGAACCTATTTTAGCTTGATTTAGCTGCATTTGCAAAAATTATTTAAGGTATTCTTGCTGCATTTGCAGCTTATTCAAGGATATATCATTGTCACATATGTCCTAGCCAGAACAGCAAAACTACTCAGTGGTCTGGTCTGCTGTCAGTCCTGTGGTTGTGAGCTTGTTTTATTTATTATTATCAAGTAACTTATTTGACCTTCAGTTTTGCTTAGCATTGTGTAATTGTGTGGCTCTCCACCCCACAGAAAAACAATTATACTGTATACAGAGAAAGCATAACAAATTACATAGAAGTGGTCATGACATGACTAACCCCCTAGATCACATGGAAAGGAAAGCGATCCCATTAGTGATTACAGGACAGAAGACAACCCTCAGACACTGAAAGTCAGAGGCAAAAAAAATGTCCATCTAAACTTTGGATGACGACAATTCACTGTAACCGTGCTGCTGAACTTAACACCTGATGTATAGGGAGAAGTGTGTCTATGGATTTTGGGTTTGGTACTGTTATAGCTCTCTAATAGAAATTTGGTGATTTGGATTAAGAGCTTTAGTGTTACTGTAACTTGATTAATAACTACCACTAATTTCACTAGATTCCAATGCTTTAATCCTCACATAACAGACATTTTGCTTTGATTGCCCATTTGTACATGAAATATCAGATGGATGTAAAGCTGTCATCTAATAGATAAACATTCAAGAGACTAGTGAAGTCCCATTTCTGAGTGGAGTTTATTGTGTTAGTGTGGCAAAGCAGCACACAAACTACAAACATTCATACTACCTCATACAGAATTAGTGTAAGTCTCTCTGGATGATGGTATTTTCTGCCAGGAAAGAGATACTCACATACCAGGAACACACATTCATGTGGTAACCAGCTATAGAGCACTGAAGTTCAGTTTCAGCATTTTTGACTGCTCCATTTTATAAGTATGGTGCATATTTATTCTCCTCCAAATACTCTCTACTGTTTTAATTTTTCAAATATTTCTTTTACCTCCTTTCACTTAAGAAGAAGTAGTTCAAATTAGTCTTATTCTAGTTTGGGCTAAGTAATCAGTTTTGTTAGAACACACTTAGGAGAATACTTACAGAGGAGCAAAGAAAGAATTACTTTGATTTTCTTCAATTGTTACATAGGATGTTGTAGTTCCCTCACTGAAGCAACTTTTCCCTATCCTCCAGGGACACCAATTTCAAATCCTGAAGTCCTTGTGTCTCCCCTTCTCTGTTAAATTGCAGTCTTTTTTCTCCAGCACAGCCTTTATGACCAAAGGCAGCACACTACCTTACAATAAGTTTCCTTCCATTATACAGGCACTCCGAATCTTCTGCCATTTCACATGTCCTTAAGGTGAGCTTTTAAACTGAGCTTTTTCCTGGCCTCCAAAAAGACACAGAAGCCAGCATATGCTAGTAAGTGCCCAGTTACTCTGAATTAAAAACATGATTAATCATATTGAAGCAGAAAATTAGTAACCTTAGCATCAGACCTAGAAGAGACCCCTACAAAAGTAGTCCTTCACATCCTCTAAATTACTTGGGAAAAAGATCTGTTACCATTTTTTAACCTGTTTAACATATGCAAGCTTGATTGCAAACACATGCCATTTTTCTTCAAGGGCAATGTCACAGAAAGCTAGTGCTACAGGGCTGGAACATTGCTGAACTCTGTATGAATTGCATCAAAGCTCTGCTCTTGTCAGCAGAACTTGGGAGCTCACTGAAAAGCACGAGTCCTCTTACATGTCAGTTACACAATCTGGATACAATCTCATATAGGAAGAATTATCTATTTTAATAAACAAGGAAGAGAATGCTTTTGACAGTACTTACTTTGTACCCTTGAAGGTGTCCTCGGACAGTTTTCAGTGGAACTGGGTCCCAATGCACCTTTGCTAATGTGCTGTTAATAACATGAACCTGCACATTGCCTGGAGCAACCATTGGCACTGTGTGGAAAGGATGCAATAAGTACCTAGTTAGAATTGGAAACCACACAAACATAGTTTTTTAGTATGAGTCTTTGCATTGTACTGAGGTTAAAATGTTCCTATGCTTTCAGCATTGATACTACAGAGTAATATGAAGCCTCTACTATCTCCAAATTGCTTTCTTTTCATTAAAAAAATAACCACTATCTCCCTTATCAATATTTCAGTATTTTAAATACCCATTCAGATTACATGTTTAGTTCCTTTTAATTAGGATAACTGAGTCAAACTACAAAACTTACAGTCTTCCCCTGAATGTCCAATCACCTCTGATGGCTCTGGTGCATACCCCAAGTCATTTAAAGCTTGTACTTTAACTTCATATGGAACAAAAGTTGGTGTACCAGACACAATATATTTAGATACATTTGCAACTATAACAGATGTCCATTCATCATCAACATCTTTCTGGCGCCAGCTGACTTTGTACTGAAGCCCTGGTCCATTAGACTGAAAACCTTTTAAAGGCTGAAATGAAAAGAAATATTTTTTAAATATTCTGAAGCATCTGAAAAATCTTAACTTAGAAAGAAATACTTTGATTCTTTTATAGAATGTCACTGAAAATTTACCACTGTATTCTGCAACAGAGAAGCACTGCTGGAAGTTATGCAATATAGCTTTTACAAGAGGTCACTTCAGTTGACCTTTTTTTTTTTCAGTTTTCACTTTTTGGAAAAAAAGCACATTGAGTGATGTTGGTCACTAAAACTTCAACAGAAGTTTTCTCATGGGAAAGTGCACAATGATTAGGTTATCATAAAAGGTGACAGTAGAAGTAGCATCCACATTAGAATTCACTCTAAAAATTAAACTCTACTTGAAATGAGCCTCCATTTATATTTTGAAGTTTTCCTAAAGTGGCAGCAAAACATCCTGTATTACCTAATTATTGGCTTATCTTGAGAAATCACACAAGGAAATATGCACCACCCCCCCCTTAACTTATTTTCATATTAAAAAAAAAAAAAAAAAATCAGTTTTTCCAGGAAAACAAAGAAGGGGAAATGTATGAATTTAGCTCCTTTTCAAGAATATTTTAAGCAGGCAATTGGGTATTCTCATCATTGGTTCTCAAAACAAACAAACAAAAAGAAATGCTACTCACAAACCTGAAAACAAAGGAAATCTTGAAAAAAGACCCTTCTTACCTCCCATGTTATTACCAAATTATCAGGTTCTGAGCCTATCCCCTGTACATTAGCAGGATTTTCATCAGGGCCTAAAAATAAAACATTTACACGTGAACAAGGATGGCTGCTGTGTGATTCCAAGCAAACTCAATGCTATTCATAGCAGGAATCAATCACTGGGAAGTGGGAATAATTATTTACTTGCAGATTTTGTCAGGTACTGCTCAGATGGCTCACTGGGCTGGCTTCTGCCAATCTTATTGACAGCAATCACACGGAAGGAGTAGTTGACATAGGGAGACAACTTCAGCTGCACCGTTGTCTGAGTGCCAGGGACTTCCGCCTGGTAATGCCACACTCCTGGTTCGTGCAGCGCGTCTTCGTACTCAATCACAAAGCCTGCAAGCAGGAATTGCATCCAACTTTACGTCAAAACTCTAAACAGCTTCCCAGACAAGTACAGGCATTTCTGAATGAGCTAGCCAGAAGGGATTGCTCCAACCAGTGCTTTCAAATATCATGGAACCTGACATGTAAATACATAAATCTAACACAAATCTATAATGTGGATATCAAAAGTAGAAATAAAGGTGAAATATAAAAATAAACCCTTAATTTTATCCTTTGCTACTGTCACTAATGCAGCCATCTCTCAGATAACACATTTTTACAAGAGCTCTCTGCCAGGTACCGGATTTTAATTTAATGGGAGCCCTTGAACTATCACAGCAAGTAAGTGGAATTTGACTGCCAAATACATTGTTCTTAGTTGTATCAAGCAGACAGCAGGCAATACCTGTATACATTTAAAACTCCCTGAATACTCCATTTTCCCCAATGAAACTGGAATAATGAAAATCTATTTAAAGTCGAGAACCTATACTTGAGGAAGGTTTTTGAGAGTACTTTTCATTAACTTCAAATTAAATCAGGGAACGTATGTTCAGACACTAAATTTCTTAAGAGCACTCTGTGTGAACATTATGATGATTACTGTCAAGACCCTACAAAGCATATAACCTCAGGGATTAATTGGTTTGTAGAATTCCAAAAAGAAAATCATATTCATTATGAAACACAGAAGAACATTTTTTTACAGACATGAAACAGCCAAAAAACATTGCTGTAAGATATGAGATATGAATTCTGAAAGACTTAGGAGAAATTTTTAGGACACTATAAATAAATGGAAGAATGTACAGTCTGAGTACATTCCATGGAACCTGGAGCATCAAATATTTGTGTGCTGTATAACAAGAATTTTCCTCTATCTCATGTGTGGGTGGAGACAGAATATGACTCAAGACTGATTCTGTTCAGACTACGAAAAAAACTCAGAGTGGCATCTAAAAATTTCTCTTATAAGAATACTTACAGCACCACATAGAAAAATGCACAACAATTTGAGGAGCAAAATATAAAAGAGATAAGTAGCACTAATCATAGCCTTCTGTACTTAAGGCTGGCAGATTTCATTCTGACCTAAGTAGTAAGAGGGAGAATTGACCCCAGATTACTGTCTGAGCTATTGCTGCTTTTGTTTGCTCAGGTCTTGGGATACAGGTCTTGGGATGTGATGTCTCCCGGATAAAGCCTTGCTGAAAAGGTGAGAATATTATATGCCAAAAAGGTGTTCACTGGTGCTTTTTGCTTCCCTGGCCACTAGCCTTCTGCCTGCAACTCCAATAGAATAATTTATAGGCAACTTCAAGGGGAAAAAAAACTATCTGAGCTTTCAGAGAGATTCTAGCATGTCAGTCATGTTGTACAAACAGAACACTCCTAATGAAGTGCAATCCTTGAGTCTTCATCTGCACTTTGAAGTGATAACAGCAGCAGAAGAAATAGGCTTACTCAGGAAGCAAATGCCTTATTTTGCAGCCTCTAAGAAGACCATGCAGCAATAGAAACTGTATTATAATTAAACCCAGCATTATTTAGTTAGTTAGAAGAGTTCAGTTTCCAATATGAGAGTGCATGCAGAATCTTGTTCTAGAAAAACCTACAAGAGACAACACTGCCTAGTATTAAATCTTTTCCAACAATGTGATCTTATTCCTACAGAAAGACAACACTTCTGTCTTCTAGCGTGGAAAAAATGAGAATACTCATTAAAATATATGTATGTGAATAAACCAATATTCAACTATTTACATTTATCTTCTATATATTATATTTTAAGGTATATTACTAGTTGATATACATTAGAGATGCCTGAGACTGTAAAATTTCAGAAAAATCACTTAGTGCTTCATTAAAATACAGTCAAAATCTTTGATGTTTTCAGAAACTTGTGAAATTCTGTTTTTTACAAGTATTTCTTTCCAGATACCTGATCCTTATGGTTTGTTTTCAGTCTTGATACCAAACCAGCATCTAATCCTGGAGAACAACACCCAGGCAGTCTAACTAATTAGTTCCAAACATAACATCTACACTGGTCTTAGCAACTTGTGACTGTTATTATCTAAAAACACACTGCATAAATAATGAAATAGTTGAATTAAGATGTTCATAGGGAAAAAGTAATGCCAAAAAAGTCTTTCTGATCCTATGATTTTTTGGAAAACAAACATTAATATCTTTGTTCCTTGCCCCTAAATTCCCTCCCCCCCATCCTCTCTGCTCAATATGACTTTTCATTACATTTTACTGGGAAGAATAACAGCATTTAAGATAAATTTACTGCCTCAAAATTTTATAGACATTTAATTGTTTAGTTTTATTATTTATTTATTCATTTATTCTTTTAACTGTCTGGACTAGAAAAAAAAATCCAGAAAAACTATCTACCTTATATTTTCATGAAGAGTAAACTTCTGCACCAGTAGAGATGGTTTATCACTGATGATGGTAGTACTAACACTATTTCAAATTCATAGAATTACAAAAGAGTTAATGCAAGACATTAGTAACTCTCTCCTTCAGAAGCATACAAGCAATCAACAAGTCCGCTCTCTACATATTCATAAAACTGGACTTTGTCAGACAGACCTTACATCAGTATATATAACTTCTATATTATCTAGCACAAGTTTTTGAATGAAAAAGCCCAGCTCTTCTGGTCTTCCTGCTTGGCTGTACAGTAATTATTAAGGGTATGATAGGTAAATAAATGGCAGCTAGAGAGTTAGAGAGTTAATTTAACATTTTCCCACACTGTACACAAAATTTATTCCAGAAATATTTGGAATTTGAGAACAATTAGAACAGTACTTGCAATGTAGTGCAGTAGATACAATCAAACATACTTGTAATGGGACTGTTGTTTTCATCCCCTGGTATCCATGAGAGATCAATGCTTCTTTCTAGCTGACCTGTCAATTCCAAGTCAAAGGGTGGATTTGGCCGAGCTGTAAATCAAATGAACACAAAATAAGTAACCACACCAGAATCTGTACTTTAATATTTGAAAAAAAATCCTTACATTCCAATCAAAGAATTCCACAAATACAGCAGGGCAGATCTACTCACTTATGTAAGCATGACTTAAAGACTAATAGCATGCAATCATTACAAAACAGACAAAAATGGAGAACTGATGTAACCTGGAAATTCTAAACATTAACAAGAATTGGTATTTATTTTTATCCATGTCTCAGTGCAATGTGATATAAAAATGTGATGAGATGCAAGGAATTATGAAATGCAAGTTTAGTTTATCTTTGAATTATTATGTGTGGTTATCTATTGTAACAAACATACCTTATACAACATGGAAAATAAAGAAGCATTCATATCAAAGAAGCTTTTCTAGAACCATTGCAAATATTTTTATGTGAATTCAAAACAAGTATACTTCAAACAGAAACTAATTGCAAGTTACTAAATTATTTATTTTTTCGCTGTTCTTTTAAAAAGACTCAGAAATACCAGGCAAGCTGTTATTATACATCCTTATAATGCATAAAGATATAATTGTCTGTTCCAAATTCATGAAGGTAATTTATTGTACGATTTGCTACACAAAAAACACAGACAGGATTTACATAAAAGTGCTTAAAACCATTACACTTAAAAATACTTTAGCTTATTATATTGCACTTGAACCCCCAAATTCAGAAAACATTCTACTAAATTAAAGGCTCTATACTGTCAAATATAAGACTATGCCTGACTAACAGATTATTATTTTTTTTAAGTTTTAACTTAAATTTTAAAATGTTGGTGATTTCGTCAATTATAAGTGGTCAGTATGACCATATTCAACTTATGAGTGGAGTAAAATTAAGATAAACTATGAAATAAAATAAAGCAGGACTACAAGGCTGCAAAATCAAGGTTAACATACAACATTATTTGGTTGGTGCAAAGTCTTTAATAGTGAATTACCTTTCACCAAAGAGTTGGATTTACATTTTAGATATTTCCTTTATTATATAACTGATTTGTGTTACAGTGCGGTCTATGAGAAAACATTGCCATCCTACACCCAATCTTAATTAAAAGTAATTTATCTCTGAAAACCACTTATTTCCTAAATATAAAGCAGCCTGTACTGTAACATTCCAAAGTTCTGTGCTACAGTAATGAAGTAGTTGGTAAAATGGGATGAAACCACACAGACACAGACACACACACAGAGGAAAAGGGGAAAAAAATAGGCAAAAAAATTGTAACAGGCAAATGAGCAATATATCTGCCTGATGATGTAGAAAGAGAACTTGTTTTAGTTTACCGTAAATGATAGCTGGTGTTGGGGGAGCAGCTGAAAAGAACATTAATATAAAGGATTTAATCAGTTAGTAGCCAAAGAAACAGAAGCCTGTAGGTAGTTAAAGACTATAGATATTAAGATACAAAAAAAGTTAACTTATTTAGATTGAATGGTTAATTTTAAAAAAACACATTATAATTTTTCACTGAGGAGCTAAAACAGTATTCTTGAATATTTTACTCTATTCATTTTATAAAATAAGGATAGATCAAGAAAATAAATAAGTAAACCATCTTATAAAAATGCCTAAATAAATACTAGTTTTTTGGCTTAGATCATTCCTGAACAGGCATAAGATCACAGCAGAATTTTAAAACACAAGCATATTTGCTCTGAGTCTCAGATTGAACTCATATAAGAATCATTCAGGACATCTACTTAAAACTTTCTGAGAAATGGGAGAAGGGGAAAAGTAATACATTTGGCAAGAATCTGCAATCATAAAAACTTAACAGAGAACTGAACTAAAAACACAATCCATGAGAAGTCATACAACCAAGTGTGCTCAGTCTTTCTGAAGCACAATTTAGTTGTTGAAGAGATTCCTGAGATAACATTTTCCCAACACAACAAAGACATGGACCTGTTGGAAGGAGTCCATAGGAGGGCCACTAAGGTGACCACAGGGCTGGAGCACCTCTCCTATGAAGACAGGCTGAGAGAGCTGGGACTGCTCAGCCCAAAGACAAGAAGGCTCTGGAGACATCCTAGAGCAGCCCCCAGCACCTACACAGCCTCCAAAAGAGCTGGAGAGTGACTTTTCACAAGGGCATGTAGTGGTAAGACAAGGGGAAATGGCTTCAGCTAAAGCAGAGTGGGTTTATGTTATGTATTAGGAACACATTTTTTATGGTGAGGCACAGGAACAGGTTGCCCAGACAGGTTGTGTGGAAGGTGTCCCTGCCCAAGGCAGAGGGGTTAGAGCTAAATGACCTTAAAGGTACCTTCCAATCCTATTAATTCTGTGATTCTACCACCTTTATGTTCAGACCTTGCAAAATTTAATTTCCTGTAGTAGCTCAGATGTGGGCAAAATAAAAAACTATACAGCACAAATGTGCCCTGTAGCTGCTCAGTTGTTTGGTAAGCAGCTGATTCAAATGCAAACTGTAAGGTGAGACTACATTTTTTGAAAACTGAAACACATTGACATTTAGGTGGCATTCTCATTATCCTGCCCTAAAAACAAAAACCATGTTTGTGCTTTCCACTTTAAATCTAATGCTGTTTTCATACTTAACAATAGAAGTTTGAGAGCATTCTTACCAACAACAGTAAGCACAGCACTTGCTGAAACGCTGTCCAGAGTAGTATTAACTATGCAAGTGTATGTTCCATCATCTTTATCAGTTACATTCATAATGGTCAAGTTGTCTTTACCAACTAGAAACCTGTAAATACAACAAATGCAGCCACTGATTTTTCCATAACTGGTACTGTTATAAGAAACTTATAACAGTTATAAGAAAGAAATCCCATATACTTGTACATGACTAAACAGCTATGTTTACCCAAGTTAAGCTATGGGACATCATCTTATTTTTTTTTCTCTCCATTGCTCTTGACCATCTTCCCACAGTGACTTTTATTCTAATGTGCTTTTCTTTCCAAATATATGCAAATTTTAAATATTTGTGATCCAGAGCAAAATCATATTCTCTTATCTGTTTGGCTTCTTAAGTCAATTATCTTTACCTTCCACTTAATCTATAAGGTCAGTGTGCACAGTTTGTATAAACGTTTACATCTCATTTTATTTTTAATTCTATCTTGATATTTTCATCACACTAGGTAGGTCCTCCAGTCACCAAATATTGGATATCCATGATGTTTATTAGTCTTCTTTGGAAAATATGTCAATAGGTCAGTATGTTCCTTTCAAAGATCAGGAAAAGGAGCAGACAAAGGGACCTAGAAAATTAAAAATAAAGGAAAACTATGTGGTCCTTACCTTTCATCATCTGGCAGTTCATCATTGTCCTTCAACCACGTAACTGTTGGTAGTAAGGTAGAATCATGTTTTATTATACACTCAAAAGAAACTTGGCCATATCTCTGAATCACTTTGTATTCTGGCTGTTTAATGATCATCGTTGGATCTGAAATTTAAAACTAAAATTAGATATCCAGAAAGTCTGAAATTCTGTACTAATCAGTGATGAAAGAATGACTAATTTCTCACCTTTAATTTCCAACTGCACCTCATTTTGTGTCTTTCCTAATTCATTCCTTGCTACACATGTGTATGTACCAGCGCTATTCTTCTGAGCCACTGGAATTTCCAAGGTTCCGTTGTCATGGAAAACGTACTCATTTCCACGCAAGATGCTACCTTTCACTCCCTTAAACCTTTGTATAAGAAGTAATATCATTAGCCAGCATCACACTTAAATTCTGTATGGTTTTATTATCAATACAATACAAACTTAGGACTGCCACATTAGAAAATAGAGACAGAAGCACTCAAAGAAATTTAAACTTGACTCTGTAGGTGTAACTTTACTGCTGGTTCATTAAGTACATGCAATATTGTATTAGAAAATTGTAAACAACATTTATTTTAAAACATTATTTTAAAATTGTAAATAGATTTAGAAGAGATTTAAAGCTTCAAGTGTTTGTTTCCATAGATACAACTGGCTCATCTTCTGTAACATAAGCACAGCTGGAGCTTACCATTCAATTTCAGGCTTAGGTGACCCAAAATAAGCACAGTCTAGCAATGCGGGACTGTCTGCAATGACTTGATACAGTTTATTAGCTGGAGTTAGAATTCTTGGTGGCTCAGCTGAAAAGACAAATATATCTGCATATAGTTGCAAAATTACAAATAGTAAATACATAGTAAAAAGCATAGTTACAAATACAAAATACAAAGACATGAAGAATAGCCTAAAGAATTACATAAAAACATTTTTCCCTGGGATGATTTTGGATCTCAGTCTGGGCTCAAATATGCTCTACTGGTACTATCCTGAGGAAAAGTTAATGCAGGGAAATTATCTTGTGAAAAACAACAATAATTAACAAGAAATTGAAAAACAATAGTTGCTTGCCTATTTACAAGTAATAGTGATAGGCACCAAAGGCAATTATTTAAATTGGAAAACTTAAATCAGTATATACTTCAAGAAGATAATCTCCTGGGTACAGACTGAACCATCTAGTTCCAAACAAACCTGCAGGCAGAAAGAAGCTAGGATGCATTTGTGGTGTAACACCTACATTTTCTTCCTTTTAACCAACAGTGTCAATCAACGCATCTGCCAGTTCCTGCAGGAGAGTCACTAGAAGCCATTCTGCCTAGGATTTTGCTACTAGCTTTTTTAAATTCAGTGAGAAGAATTAGAGGGGCTACAACATATTGTAATCAGAAACACATGCCAGGGAAGCCTTAGAGACAAATGCATAATCATGTCCCCTTGCAGCAGCAACTTGGAGATCATCTATTCCACTAATCCAAAACATCCAGACTCAATGAAACGGTACTGAAATGTACTAACTTAAGCAATACTAATTCCTGCCTTCTTTGTTGTGCTTCTGTTTGACTGACTTACGCAAACAAAAAAAAAAAAACAAGAGAGAGATAAAATTTCTTCCAAGTTTTCCCAGCTTAAACATTTTTCCTTCTCACTTTGGAACAGTGAAAGTGAAATTCAGGAATACCCTACAAAAAAAAAAAAAAGGTATGTATACCCTTGCTCTTTACAGGGGCCAGGAAATAGATCAATTCCCAATGGAGACCTCAAGCAAGGCTTGAGCAGAGTCTGTGTGTTAGCAGGAGACAACTGAATACCCAAGAAAAAGATGAAGTCTTTTTCTTACCCAGAACATTCACAAACGCATTTGCTAGCAAGTATCCGTATTCATTAGAAGCATTGCACTGATAGACAGCACTTGACCTTTCTTGCACGTGTGAGAAAATAATGGTGTCACCGTCCACCTTTCTGCTAGGATCTTCTGGAGCAACTGTTGATGTAAAGAAAAAGAGTTAGTCCTTTTCCCAGACAGCTACTGGACTGCAAGTTTCATACTTCTGAAAAGAAGGAAGAATCTGAAAGACCAATATACCCTTAAAGTTTTGGGGTTTTTTTTCCCTGGGTGACTGATCACTAGGAAAAATGTGGATTTTAATACAGTTTAAAAAGTTCTTCTCATTCTACAGGTATTAACTCAGGATGGTAGAGTTCCCATTTTTTGAGAGGTTTTTTTTTTTTGTTTGTTTTCCAAGGAAGTGAAGCTGAGATTTTATTTTGCACAGAATACAGAGGAAAAATACCAATATTATGAGACTTGGGCAAATACAGTCAATATCTAGGAAATTACAGAAATATTTCTGAATGTCAAAAGAAAATGCTGATGCAGTGACACAGTCCTCTGTGACTTTAAAGTTTCAAATTGATTTTTATACCACAAATAATTTTCCAAATATAAAAATAGTCACAGTCAGTTGAAAATCATCTCAGAGTAAAGAATAAGCATTCCTTCTAACCAAGTCAAGAAACAATCTTCTCAAGAGCAGAGTTAGTACTTCGGTAGGTGGCACTCTTTCCCTTATGTAAGAATTATACAGTGCCATTTCCTCAACTGCTCTGGAGTGGCCTGAGCTGTCAAACAGCTTTGCATCACAGAAGCATCCAAGACATAACTGAAAATAAAATTCTAAGAAAATACTGAAGAAGAATAATAGCTGTCAGTTCTGATACAACTGAATGGCATTAAAGACTATAATGAAGAAAAATCTTAGCTTGTTACAAACACCACACTGCATAAAAATGCACAATCTATAGTTCAATATGTTATGAACATACTAAATAAGACCAGATATATTATTATTGTATTAAAAAAACACAAGTATTATTAATAATGAAAATTAATGGTAAAATTACTGATATACTAATATGAAAAATAGACTTATTTATACAGAAATAAATGCATCATCAAAATTGCCACCTTTACTGAAGCTTGAAAAAGTATATTTGTGGAACACATTCTCATACAAGGAAATTTTTATTTGAGTTGATAAAAAGAGATCAATCAAGTAAATTAACATCAATTTTATGTGACAGAAATTAATCTTTTGATTCACACAATACCTTAGTTCTCATCTGTAAAGAAAATGGAGACATTTCTCCTGCATTTTCTTAAAGCATGTATTAATGAACTCTCTACAAAAGAAACCAGATAAAGAGGACCACAGTTCTGTGCTTCTGCTTGGATGAAATCTAAGGCCATTTTTCATGTAAATACCTCAATTTCCAAACTGTTGCCTCAAGAACAGATTTCCATTTCCATTTTTTCTCATCTTCCATCACTCTGAGTTCAAATCAACATCACAAATTCAAAAATTTCGGGAAGGAAGAAAAAGGTACTACTGAGATTTTAAGTGATTATTCTCTGGACTTATGGATTGCTGGCACATATTTTTCTCTCTTTTGCTTTACTTCCTATTGTGTTCCATGCTTCACATTGCCTCCTTTTCTACGTAAATGCCATTTTCATTAAAAGATTCATGGGCTGAAAATAGCAGGAGCAGGTGAGCAGCCCAGCAGGCAGGCCAGTCAGCTGCGGGAAGCACTCTGTTTCTGCATACAAATCACAGTTAAACAGAAGACAGGCACAACTGCTCTCCCACGAGGAAGGAGCACAGCCCACAGCCATCCAAGCATGGCTGCTTCCAGCCCTGGGCTCTGCTCTTCCCTCCACTCATGCCTTCTAAATCCTGCAGCACTTTCTGCATCCCGTTGGGTCATTAATGGGCGCACAGACTGCCCCCATCACACACACTCCAATACCTAATCCCTTACAGGATGATGGTAGTGCCCCTCCTAGGAGAGGAAAGCCATTAGTTCAATCTTCTATGACTGAAGGAGTTGCATTGTAAAAGAATGATCTAACCACTAAATCACTATAGAATGAGGGGCAGCATCCTCCCTTCTCACTGCTGTAGTGAAGGAAAAAAGGAGATATCCCCTTTCAGCTATCTGAAGAAAAGGAGGTGCTTGTTCTCTGAAAAGGGCTTCAAGCTGGGGTCCCAAGAGAAAAGAAGGCAGAAGTGTCAGGTTAGCTGGTACTTTCTGTTAATCAGTCTAGCCAATTGCATGCTGAAGGGCATTGATTCAAAAGCTCCCTGTTAAGACAGAAATCTATTTAACTGTCTGTTGAATACAGCTTCTTTAATGGTCTGAAGCACCCACTGCTGCACTCACAGACACAGAAACATTGAGCTTGGAAGGGACTTTTGGAGGTCATCTGGTCCAACCCCCTGCTCAAGCAGGGCCACTTGGATCCAGTTATCCAGAACTGTGTCCAGATGGGAGAAGGATCACTTTCCTCTACCTGCTGGCACTTTTGTCTCATATAGCCTAGGATAATGTTAGCCTCTTTGCCACAAGGGCACATTGCTGGCTCATGGTCAACTTGGCATCCACCAGGATGCTCAAGCCCTGTTCTGCTAAGGCACTATCCATCTGGATGGCCCCCAGCATGTACTAGCACTAACTAAGGCTGTTCCTCCCCAGGTGCAGGACCTTGTTCCACTGATCACCTTCTCTGAGTTTGGCCATTCAGCCATTTTTCTATCCACCTCTCTGCTGTTTATCCAGCCCCTACATCAACAGCTTGTCCATGAGGAACTAAGGGGAGACAGAGTTGAAGCCTCACTGTGGTCCAGGCAGGCATTATCCACTACCCTTGCCCTCACCTATCTGGCCAATCATTTCATCATAGAAACATATGAAGTTGTCACCCCTTGGTGAAGCCATGAAAACTACTCTTGAAAGCTTTCTTGTCCTTAATGTGCCTTGAAATGGTTTGCAGAATTAGCTGCTCCATTACCTTCACAGGGATAAAGGCGACTGTAGTTCCCTGGTTTCTCCTTCTGGCTCATTGAAGACAGGAGTAACATTTGCTTTCTCTCCATCTTTAGGCACTTCTCCCAGTTACCATGATCAAGCAAACATTATGGAGACGGTTCTTGCAATGACATATGCCAGCTCAGTCAGCACTGGTGGCTGCATCCCACCAGGGGCCACACACTTAGGTATGTTCAGTTTGCTCCTGAGCTAATCCTTTTCCACCAAGGGTACATCTCATTCTAGTCTTTTCCCCTGGTCTTTGGGACCTGGGGTTCCTGAAGGTCAAACCTGCTAGTAAAACCTAAAGAAAAATAGCATGCAGTACTTCAGCCCTTTCCATATACCAGTCTACCATTTAAATTTTTTTTTAAAAATATTTTTCTGGGGAAAAGGAGTGATGGCAGGACCACTCAAGCACTGCTTGCTTGTGTGTCTGAATATTCTGGTCACATTACACAATAGCAGCATGAGAAAGAGAAAATGCTTTTGACATATTAGAAATTTCTGAATTTGGCATGACAGGCAAAATAGCAAAAACCTACATAATACTTAAAATGGGCTTCTACAAGCAGGATAATGAATTACGAGGATTTGCTCTAGGAGTTCGGCTGTGGTAAAAAGACACATGTGCCATCTAACAGCCAACATTTGCTCCCAATAACATGGAACCTCAGCTTATAAATGTGTTTTAGTCCTTTCTGAACAAAGACCTAGTTTCATCTAATTTTTTCATCACATTGTACAATGATACAGCTTCATGACTCTAGCTATGTTCAGCATATTCCTAAACAGAGAAGGCAGGGCCTCCATCAGATACTTCTTGTTGTAGTTAGAGATCAGCACTGTGAGTAACTTCTGTTCATTTGAATGTCGCATAAACTTCTGACAGCCAAAGCAATTTCCTTTTTCTAGTATGCTTAAATAACCACTATGGCACCATTATTACTTTTTTACTTGAAAAAAGACAGAATTACATGCTCTCTGAACAGAAGTAGTTAAAACTGGAAGGGGAAAAAATCTGGATAAAAAACCCATGGATAACTGAAAAGGTAAAGGAATGTAATTTTCCTTTTCTTACCACTCTCACTTGCTCCTCAGCATATTATTTTCCTGTGATCACTGAAATGCTTTTCCTCCTGAGTTTCTGACAGTTCTGTTGTCTCCAAAGGCACAGCATTACCTGCACTAACTATAACCATCCTTGACTATTTTGTGCAGAATTGAAAAAAAACTGATAATCTGCTGAAGTTCCTAGGCCAGTTGCAAAGTTCCATCACAATGACAGAGAAGTAGTGGATAAACATCTTCCCATGCAGTCTTCTTTCCAAGACTGAAATACTGGGGGCATTAGGGTCAGCAAATTTCTCCCCTCCCTCCCATGGCTGCAGTGAACAGCTTGTGGTGTGTACTCTCAGAGAAAATGATGGATGGTGAATCTCTCAGCCATAGAGTATCAAGGCCTTTCATGAAAGAAATCTGAGGGCTAATGTTTCTCCCTTAAATTCAGTGTAAGTACTAACAGAGACTAACTCAAACCCAGAGATTCAATGTGGAGTGTAATATAAGAAGAAAAGAATATGTTGAAAGAAGATAAACAGCACCTCTGAGCTACTTTGTATAAGTCTAAGTGTCTGTATCTAATATTTAATAGCTCACCATGAACTATAAACCACTGGACCAAAAAATCAGTCTTTTGTACAGTATTTGCAATGCCTTTCTGAAGTCCAATTATGAAAGCGTTTCCCCTTCCCAATTAATCTGGGTTGTTACTTTCTTAAAAGTTGAGACACTTTATACATGGCTTCCCTTTTGTAAAACCATGCTGAATATCTAAGCAGTAAGACACAATGATTATGCAGTGATAAAAATAATGCAGATCTTGAGTGTTAATTGAAGCACAAGGCAACACAGAGTCATGGCCCGAACTTTCAATTGCTACTTGCCAAAGTAATTCTAATTGACCTTAGCGGGACTGGGCGTGTAAGTTCACCATACTCCTCTGAGAAAACAGTAGGAGGTTAGGTCCTTATCATTCCAACATGTCTAAAGCAGCTTTTTTTTAGAAATGCTGGTGTTTTCAGCATGACTGTTGAAGAAAACTAATTAAAATATTTCAGGGAAACCTAAAGTCTTAAAAAATATTTTTTACTGAGATTACTGGAATATTGAATAAAATTCACACCATTGCAAGTTTATTTTATAGTTGCTAACACACACACACTACATTTTTATCTAATTTTTTTGCCCCTTTTCCCTATAGATATTTAAACCTCAGCCTTTGACTGAGATACGGACGAATGGTTCTTTCTTCAAGATTCCCTCTTCCTTGTCTGACTCTATTATGGAAAAACAAAACCGGAATAATTAAGTATCTCCCAGTTGTGCTTTCCAACAGAAAATTAAAGTATTGCAAAGAGATTACTAGGCCACAAGAGGCACATAGTGGGATATAGGATGACAGCAGGGCTTTGAAATTCAAATTTAGCTCTTTTTCTTTGAAATCCTGCCATGGGTGTAGCTCTCTCAGCACTGCCCTGAAGCAGAAACAGCTGCTTTAGTTTCCTTTTACAGTGATTTCCTAATCATTGAGTTGGAAGATGAGGGGCTCAATTTTATAATTTAGTAACAAGTGAACAAAAAGGCACACTGTACTTGGTAATTTCCAGAACAGCTTTTGATAACCCAGAATAATAAAAAATCACAAGAATCTTAAGAACAGCACTTTCTGTGATCATGATGCCTCTCATAGATGCCCTGACAGATGCAGTGTACTAGAGCATCCAATCAACTTGCACTTAAATATTTAATGTGGATAAGACTTCAGCTTTTCTCAGCAGTAAAAGTGACCTTTAATATAAGCCTGAGCTACTCACTTACTTATTTCCTGTGTTCTTTTATTTTTTCTTCCATACTGAGTTTGAATGGGTAATTTAATTAAAGTCTTTTAATTTTTACTGAATACCCTCAACAAGACTTTGTGTACTAATTCCTCAAGGCCAGTCCAATATATGCTGCCTTGTATTTAGGAAATTTGGTGGCATCCTGCAGCTGCTTCTGGAAACTCTGTTTCTTAATGTTTTACTGTCACTGTGAAAGAAAGCAGAACACATCACTGCTTTTCTGGAAAATGTACTTGTGGGTCATTTGAACAGCTCGTTCCTACAGCTTTGAGAAGGAAGAAGAGCAAGGCAAAGCTGACTCTCATAGCTTGATGAAGGTTTTACTAGTCAGAAGGCCTGAAATAATAGTTAAACTACAAGAACTGCAGGGTAAAAATCCCCTCCAAACAAATAAACAAAAAGTGAGTGGTGAGTATACAGAAAACAACAAAGGAAGATGAGACGACCAAAAACCCAGAATGAAAAGTGAAGGACAGGTACCAAACTTTGATGATAACATATGCATTATGATATATTTATTTATAAATATATACTGTACAAAATTACATTGATATTTTCCTGTTTTCCTGTCTTACCATTGTTTGATGAGGTGATTAATGTCAGTTTACACAACTTATTTACCAATGGAAACTTCTCATTTTAAATTTCAAGTTGTAGATGTCACCTTCCATTTAATTAGAATTCCTGAAACAGGCTGTTTGCTAAATATTTCTATTTGTTTCAATACATTGCCTTTTTTTTTCCCCTACAAATAAGTTTATTCTCTTTTGTATACCAAATAGTTCAACTATATCTAACGAGGGCTCTCGTTTACTTCTTGCTATTACCTAGATTCTGGCCATAGACAATCCTTCTCCATGTCCCACGCTGGGTGAATTATATTTTGCCAACAGACTTAAACAACTCCTAAAAACTTAAAAGTTCTAAAAGTGACAGAAGGGACACTGTCATACTTTAAACAGATCAGTATTTTAGAGTAAATTACCTCTCACGAGCCAACAGGTGAGACTGTCTGGCCTTTTATTATTGTTTTGAGAAAGGAGAAGGATAAAGGTAGAAGAACCAAGTGTGACTTTACAGTACAGGATATGCTCAGTGCAAACCCAGCTGACACCACACTGCAGTGTCCTCCAGCAAGCTCTTTCCAAGGCAAGTTGTACTATGTATAGCAGCTACCTTGTGTCTGTCATACAGCATTGCCAGTCCTAACACTGCAGCAATTACTTGGCTCAATCACCAGTTCAGGGCTGCTTTTCTTACCCATGCGCACAGAAACAGCTCTTCCATTGCCTTAGGGGTTCCTTTTCTTTGACACCTACTTGGCACAAACTGTTTGCCAGGTAGCTGCTGACACATTCAGACAGTTTTGCTGCTGCAGCTTCTTAGAGCTGAAGCCTGGAAGGCTCAAACATACACTAAGCTGCATATCGTGCAGTGTACTGCAAATCCTGCAAATCCTACAAGTGCTCTGTATATCCACACATGTGGGGACTTCACTTTTTATGTCACATTTAAGATTCTTGGCAACATTAGAGTTGCAGTGGGGAAGCAAAGAAGAGACCTAGCAGACACATCTGCCACAGAAACACAGGGTTAACAATGACATCCCAGCAATGGCCCTGTGAGAGGGACCATCCAATATCCACAAAGATGCTACCAGTAGAATGCCAGACAGAAGAACCAGAAGCATGATTACACATTTTAGTTCTCTCAAACACGTTAGAGGCACATTTTGTTGTTCAGCTTTTATGAACCACAGTATTTGATCACATCTTTTATGATTTAGCATTACCTGTCAGGCAAAAACTACACAAATACAGGCTCTTCACATCTATTTGACAAAAACCATCCTGAGACTCCTCATATTTTCTTACTCATGCTCCTGTAAGGTAATTAAGAATCTTACTTGCTATGGGAACACCATTTGCTAACCAGCTTATACTAGGTTTTGGGTTGCCATTAGCTCTGCAGATCAATGTTCCATCTTCTCCAGGAGACAAAACCAAGTTTCTGGGTGCTGTTATCCAGTATGGAGCAGCTGGGTTTAAGAAAAGAAAGAAGGCAATTGTTTTCCAAAATTATGTACAGAAAACTATAAGGCACAGGCATGGTAATCAGAAGATAATTCAAACACGCTATGTGTAGATACAGACTTACAGCTATACTGTTACTGTATATGTACATATATATGTGTATATATATATATAAATATATAGATATATATGTGTGTGTGAGAGACATAATTAAGTGATAGATCATACATTGGTCAAATTGACCCTCTGGTCACCCACTGCATTAAAATTCTGAGATAAACAACAAGAGGATCTTTGTTTTATTTAGGGTTTCCTGCTTTGAATCTAATTTGCCTTTCCTAAAGAAAGCAAAATTTATCTGTGTATGGCATTTGCAGACATTAGAGTGGTCTTCTGATTAATTTCAGAGATACCCATGCTCTTAGTAGTTAGGCTGTTAGGAATTAATTTAGGTTTGATTACAAAAAAAAAAGATTCCATATCAAGAATGAAATTTTAAAATGGCAAAATCCTTGGTCTCACTCAATTCAATGGCTGACTGCAGTGGGGCCAGATGTTTACCTGAGACAGATTAAAATACAGAGATCAAAATGGGTGAAACACTGTCCTTACTAGAAGATATTCACGTTTCTCCATCCTTTTCTACAATAAATAACCACAAACAGCATATATTATCACATCTTGCAATTAATCTTCAGATTTTGGATTGATGGACAGATGCAAACAGAAAATTAAACTTCTGTTCTTAGAAAAGAAGTTAAATGTGATCATAAAAAGATGCTGATCTACAACAAAATAAGTGACTATTTAGCATGCAAAGTAAGCAATACAGCTGATTATTTCAATGACTAATTAACTGTCATTACAGTTTTTTGTTTCATGGTATTCACAGCATACTTACAATTCCTATTTAGACAAACATGTTGTAAATGTTTTTAGAATTATAAGGCATCATCTTGGGTAAAAAACATGAAGAAAATAGGAACAGAAATATCAGTAAAAGAGAAAAAAGAAGAAAAACATAAGACTGTAAGACAATAGTAAAATAGAAGAAAGAAATAATCTGGGCTGTATGAATGAAGAAAAATGGAGAAAATGAGGATGAAATTATGAAGAGAGATAAGAAGGAAGATAGAGAAGCGAAAGAAGTAGTATAATGACAGATAATCAAAGGATCTAAAATAAATGTAGAACTTGTGCAAACTAAGGCATTACCTTACTACTGTTACAGTAAAAACCAGTTAAGCCTGATGCTTTCCAAAGTGACATCAAAAGATGAAAAGATATTATAGATAGTAAAGCCCTTCCAATGTTAGAATTCAGACAGTTGAATGTTTCCTCAGGGTGATTTTTAACCATTATCATTCATCTTTTTAGCTGCACTTCATCCTAGAAAGCCTGCTTCCATCCTGCATTCTGGACCCTTGACAACATTACATTAAGGATAATTTTAGTATTACCTTTAACAGTTACTGTAATGACATGATGAACTGAACCTAAAGTATTTCTTGCTATACATTTGTAGTTCCCAGAGTCAGCTTCTGAAACATCTATAATCTTGAGAGTTTTCTTAAAGTTTTCAAAAAATGTTCTGTTGGCTGGCAGCTCCCCACCCTCCTTGATCCAGCGGATTACTGGTGTGGGTCTGGAGAAGTAAAAGCACAGATCAAATTTAAGGATTGAAGAAAAGGAAGGTAAGAGTTCAGTATGTTAATATTTTTAATATATGTTTTATAAATAATTATTTTAAGAGGCTCTACCCAGATTCTGGGCCACATCCAACAAATATGAAAATTCTGCCAGCATTTGTTTCTAGGAAATGACAAGTCTCACCAACATTGTCAATGGCCATCTGTTCACAGGATTAATAATTACAGAATACATTTGTCTGCTGATTAACCTAAAAAACCTGATGGCTAATAAATGAAGACAAGCTTCTACTATCAAATTTATGCTTATGGTGTTTTTAAAGGTAGCTTCCATAAAATGACAAGTTTATAATTGTCCTTTGTGTGAGCAATATCCTAATGCTTCATGAACATCATAAATTTCACAAAAGAGCTACAAGGAGGTAGAAACATTTATTGTGAGAAATCAGGAAAAAAATGTCAATGCTGAGCCAAGTATAGCTACTTGTCACTGCACTGAGTCTAAATCTTGGCTATGCCCCATGTTGTTCCACTGAACTTGAAAGTTGTTAAAACACAATTGTGTTTGAACACAATTGTGTACGGAGATATACTTTGAAAATGACAAGAAATTGCAATTTGTTGCTTACTGAATACAATGTCCTCTCTCAAATGGTAATGACTCTAAGCAAATGTTCCCTTAGCAGTCTAATATCACATATTTTATAACACAGACATCTAGCAAAGCTGACTTTTAATTATAGTGTCAGTGATTAAGAGTAGTTATTTCAAATAAAATTTGAATCTGGTCCTTTGTAGACAAGTATTCCCTCACTGATTATTTGGTTTTTTAATTACATGACAGCTAAAGACACAAAGCCATATAATATATGTCTATTTTTTTTTTCCACAGGTTTTATCCAGCTGTTTTACTGGAATTTGGATCACCTAATATTGCAGGGTTGTCAAAATGCATATAACTATATTGCAGATGAAGATTACCTGGGCTGGTGCTAATTGCACTCACAGGGGTGGTTTTGCTGGTGCTGCTGGGGCCACCTGAGCAGGCCGCAGCTGAGACCGAAATACTGCACTGATGCTCAGATCAAGCTGTGCCTGAGCATGCCCTGCGGAGCTCATGCAAGTGAACACGTGCATGGTGCTGTGGTGCAAGATTTGCAATTATTGGCATTCCTCATGGCTACCGGAGAGCACTCTGCCTTTGTGCACTGCAAACATATTTACAGTTCTTGAAATAGGTACTAAAGGTTTTCTGCTTCTATTCTATAACCAATCTATTCTCAGATTTCTTCCTGAGAATGAAAATGATTTAAAGGTCAACCTAACTCATGAAGTTAAATTGCTCTCAGTAATTTTCTTTTTGCACAATAAACAGCAGAAGCAACCTTGCATTGCATTGAAGAAACAAGTACCAATTAAGCTCAATTACAATGAGAAATTAGATGTAAGGACCTGAAGATTTGTTCTAACAATTCCCACCTAGCACTACTAAGTAATTATTATCACATATAAGCAGTTTTCTTGGATTAGAACAGCAAATTCTTATCTATTTTTATATAATTTGAGAACCTAATGACTGTAAATTTAGGAAAACAACAGAAGCTTTATTCCTGACTGCAAATCTGTGGATATATGCCTGAGATTAGTCTATAGCATTTCTTGCCCGTATCCTTTAAAAACAATGGCACAACCCATATCCTGTGCCTAGGGTTTGGGGATACAAGAAGGCAGAGGCCATACACATTCATAGCCAGTTTCAAAGTCTGCAGATGCCCAAGTAAATGGTGGAGTTCCTTAAAAAAGCTCTTTCCATTTTACACTTCTGCTTCTTTGAAACACATATGGTTTATACAGCATTCATGTTTTTAAGCATCTCTGAAATGTTTCCCTCTGTTTCTATTTAGGAAAAAAAAGTCTCAAAAGTGACTCACAATCCTGCTGCGATGCATTCCAACAAAAGCACATTTCCTCTGAGTTCCACTTTGGTACTTGTGCTACCTGTTGGTGTTAGAAGAACTGGCTGCCTTTCTGTAACTGGCTTTGCTGAAACAAGAGGTAGTAAAACAATTAATTTCTAAATTTTATTCTGATACCAATCAAGTGCATACATCCATTTTCACATTTTGAACAGAGATTTTGCTCCACATTGGCCATTTGATTAAAAGTCATTGTGCAGCACAACTACAAAGCTGAACACATTAGTTTTTTGACATACGTAACATATCTGTTAAATGCCACAATTTTGAACACATAGAAGAGAAATGTTGTTATTAAAAGACAGGAACAATTGATACAAAGCTTTTATATAGGCAACCGTGCAGTCTTAATCCTAAGTAGCTGCTGTTTTGTTAAACAGAACTATAATGGGGAGTAAGGCCACTGGTGTGAGGTACTGAGTGTTACTGAAAATTTCTGGCCTTCTATCAAAATAAAAATACAGCAAAGTTATTTTTAATCAGAAATATAAACCAAGTGAGTGAAAGGTGCTTTGGAATGTGTTTTAATATTTTCTAGACAATGTGAGACATTGTATCAGAAATTAATCCTGGGATTTTCCTCTTACTATATATTTAACTTTAATTCAAGCTGTACCCCAGTCTTGCAATACAGAACCTTGATTAACGTGTAAGCAATAAGCACAGTAAACTGACAGCTATAAATGTAAGACTCATTTCTGATATACTCTGTTGGCTTTTGAAGAATATGGTATTTCCTATGCCTTCATGGAATTCAGAATAAGAGTTTTCTGTAATTATAGAGTGTTTTCTGTGAATAGTCTAATGTTCTCTTGCAGCAATATTAACATATAGAATTAAATGGCTTTGAAGTGCTGTAAGAGTCCAAATCATTACAGTGAATCATTTTGGTTTTTTTTAAAAATGGGATTAGAAACATAATAAAATCGAAGTTCGTTAGAGTACAGGATTTACTGACACATTAGCATAAATACAACACTTCATCTTAATCCAGTATGTGCTGTGAATTCCTTAATAACCCGTACACAATCAACTCAAAGTTGTGGGAGAACAGAGACGTCCAGAGTCAAGAACACAGCCAACAGTCACAGCAACAACTCACCTACCCAGGGCTGGCACTGCCAAGGGCTGCAGACTCACTTGGCCAGACTGTGAGTGTTCAGGACAATTACCCATGGTGGTTCTGAGTTGAGAGCCAACCCAACAGTGCTTTCCTCACTAATTGTAGCTAATACATTGTTTTATGTTCAGGTACTTTTTTCTTGTTTGTCCCTCCTGAATAACATGTGATTTTTATGTAGAGAAGTAAAATATTCTGTGCCCATGTTTTATTTTAGATTAATATAAGTTATGGTCAAATATGCACAAAGACCCATTTCACAAAGAAAAAGACAAAAAAAAATTGAATAAATATCAAGTACTTTCTATGTCACTCAATATCAAGTGGAGAGTCTAGAATCAGTGGTGCTCCAAAGTCAGCCTTGCTAAACACACATACATCTGTTCAGGAGGATTTAATTCAGAACATACAAAAGACCATTCAACAGAGATTAATGGAAAGACCAGCTTAAACACCAAACAAACAAAACTTATCCTACTGCTAGGAATTTATTGGTTCTGTAAGTTATTAAATGTAAAGTGGATCTGTTAGGTGCTTAATTGTTGTTATTTATTATGCAGCACATGACATTGAATAGTCCTAGTGATAATGAACATAATCAAACTACTAGGTAAATTGGAAGAAAAATATTAAAAATGAACACAGTATAGAAGTAGTTTTTAAAATCTGCACCAGTGTGAAAGTGATCTTATTAGAAGTGCTTATATTTTCTATGAGCTGTATGTTACAAGAGTATTGAAAAATTAAATATTTCAAAGCATCACACTGTGCAGTCCCTTTGCAAAATATGTATTATCACCAGCACTAATTGATACCTTTATTAGAAACTGAAAAAGGAGCTAAAGATTAAGTAGCCATGGAGGTGAAGTTAGTTAACTAAATGCTACTATAAAACAAAGAGTATCAGTGGGGACCAGTGTAACTCACCACCATAAATATCAGTGTCACTCAAATTAGCAGCTATAGTGTCATTCAATGAATCCACTGAAATAAACAGAATATCATGAAGAAAGCATAAAAAAGGGAAAAATAAAAGTTCTGGGAATCAAAAGGTGATGACATGGCCGCAGTGAGTTAATCAAGTGATTGATTAATTTGCTTCAATAGTTACAATAATTATAATAACTTCATATTCTTGCACTGGAAAAACATTTGAAAACTGTTATTTTTTACACTGTATATATAAATTCTTAAACATTTTTTTCAAAACACAAAGCCTTATAAAGTGAAAAATGATAGCTTTTAAAATCAATTATATATCAAGAAAACTGGAAATTATGCTTCAAGTCTATACAGTAATGTAATTTCTTATTCAAAATTGAAATGACAAAATTCCCTAGCGTAACACTATTTAACTTTAGCATGTAACTTGAGAACTCTGGATAAATACTGTGCAAGTATGTGATTTGGTGATGCAATACCTACTTGAAAAGACCTTTACAGATATGGGTTGTTTCTGCTGTATAGTTTGTGTGTGATTAAATCTTGCGTAGCAGATATAGTCCTCCCGGGTGTCTTCTGGTTGTACATTAGAAAAATAAAGATCTCCATTTAGACCTTGGGAAACTCTTTCACTTTGAGGCAGCCTTTGGAAAGCTAAGGGAAAGAAAGAACACATTTATGCTAAATATAATTGACACACTTTATTATTATGATCTGCAGACTCCATATTCATTCAATTACACTTGTTTGTGCCTTGGTACATGTACAGACATTTCTAAGCTTCCTGATGAGATGGCTTGTCTACCCATTCTTCCCCAGTGGGTTAATCTACAACTTACATTAAGATCTCCAGCTGCTTTTGGCTTCATGCATTTGGGCTGTATGGCTGCTTGTTTCCTCTGTTCTACAGAAATGGAAATTCACTGGATTTTAACTCAGAGGGAAACTTCACCATCTGTGGTTTTGGTAAGCAACGACATACTACGTAGAAAAACCGCAAAAAGTCAACTGCTTAAGAAACAAACTCACCATTATCCATCCAAAATATAATAGGTGGTGGCAAGCCAACAGGAGGTCTGCAGTGCAGTACTAGTGAATCACCTTCGCGAACATGATTTGGTTCCAGCTTTTCTTTTGTCCACAAAGGCGATCCTACAGAAAGTGATTTTGACACACACACAAACTTTGCATTGGCAAAAACTCAAAAATTTAAAGGCAAAATGCACAAAGTACTCCAGAGAAATGAAAGAACTACATCCATCAGAATGTTAAATCCTTTCATGTTTGCTAAAGTTGTTATTTTTGTTCTTTATGTTTTCTTGGAAGAAAAGTACACCAATGATTTATTGAAAGTATAATCAACTGATTCAAATTATTTTGTCTGCTCACTAAAGGTTTTATAACAATATCTTGCAAATTTTTTACTATAATGAAAAGAAAGGTGATGTACTAAAATAGAAAAAGAGGTAGACATTTCTGAAGCAGTATTATACACACTCTCTTTAACTAAGATGTGAGAACAGCACCTACTAAGCTGAGAAGCTTGAAAATTAAACTGAGATAAAGCTCGTAAAAAGCTGTAGAAACAATCTACCATTAATCAAAAAACTTTAGATTCCTTTTAGTTCAGATCTGTTATGTTTTAAAGCTATTACAAAAACTATGGAGTACAGACTTCATAAACAGAAAAAAATTGTGGTCATCAATTATGTCACCCACGTCAACAAATTTTCCTTAAAGCCTTACAGATTTAAGTATTTTATTCAAGCAGCTCGTGTCATACATACAACTCAGTTTTAAACATTATAAGGTTAGCCAGATGTATCAAGAAAAAAATAAAAATAAAATTTCAAAAATTAAAATTAAATTTTTGTAAAAAACACATATTTGAGAGCACCTGTAATACAGTAGTATACCTAAGTATAAGAAAATAGGCAATAACTTCTAGCATGGTCATTTGGATGACTGAAATTTTAAGACAGGAAAACAAAAAGGCAAAAAGTTCATAAGCAAATAAGAAAACCAAAGTGTTTCACACTTTATGAACATTAAGAGCTTTACTTACTAGAAGGCCTTATAACGATATTGTTGGAAATGGCTGCTCCTCGTTCATTCCTTGCTGTACATTGGTAAACTCCCTCATATGCTTCTGCTTTCCCACCATTCATAATATTTATGACAAGAGTCCCTGAATTTGGTTTCATTGTTACCTGTGCATCTTTATCTATATCAAAATGAGTTCCATTGCGTGTCCAGGAGAAGCTAAAACAATAAAAACAAAAAGAAAAGTTTATTCTTAGGTGCTTTTTGTAGACTGTATGAAGAAAAAGAAGAAAAAGCAATTAACAAAAATACATATTATTTTTTCATTAGCAGATAAGTAAGACTAGTTCCCAAACTAAATTAACTAATAATGCAATACAGAAATTTTACTATAAGAAATCTGGCAATATTTTAAGATAAAAGATTTGGCTGAACATATTTACAAGAGCTATTTCAAAGTTAATTATTTTTTTAAAAAATACATTAAAAATTTCTGAGGTTAATCATACATGGAAAATAACTGATTTCCTTTCTACTCAAAATGATGCAGTAACATCTGCAAGAACTGATATTGCTAAAGCTGCATTAGCATTTCCATTATAAAATCTATTGTTGAAAGGGTTTATAAACCTGTCTTTCAAAACCTGCTAAGGGCTGAAATGTGTCATCTCAGGCCCCAGCAGGACACCATTTATTTTAGTTGGTTTGGTGATTTTGAAGTTATGCAAGTGAATTAAAGACTGTGGCAAGTTTGAGTCCTTTTCACTATTCTAATGCAAACATAATTCTCTAATAGAAATTATATAGTCTGAGAGCCTTTATTTGACCTAGTAAATTTATACCAATACTACTCAAAACAAGAGATATCTTGAAAATAGTCTTTAAAAATGAAGACTGATAGAACTCATAAAAAATTGTCAAGAAGCAGAGGTTCACAGTCTACAACTTAAACCATAAACACCATTTTCTTACTTATGCTCCATTTATGGTCAGAAGTATAGTCACAGAGAGCTTGACCAACACCTATGAAGTGCTGAGCACTCCCAGCTTCAAACACTGTGAACAGCAGTTTTTGTACATGTTACATTTCAGCTTCAGAATCTTAAGCACAAACACTTTTTTGTGCTGGTTAGAATGTTCCTAAAGTATAAATGTAATGGCACCAGAAAAGCTCAGATTCTAACAGACTCAAATTGTGCGCTGACCTTCTGCAGCAGGACTGGACATATTTGCACCTTGTGTTGGGGGAGAGAAGAACTGGACCTGCAGCAGTGCTGGACCCCAATGCAGCGTTTTTGGGAGGACTACCATGCATTGTGAACTAACAGTGAACCTCTTTCTTACAACTTTGCAGGTGAAGTTTCATAATGTGGGGTTTCCATTACCAATAATATTAAGAATGCAATAAAGTGTAATGTAGATTCAAATGAGAGGTGGAAAAAGTGGAACAAACCCCTGAATTTGGGAAGAGTGGCAGTCAGTCTTTGCTGCTCTAGCTATAGGTAGCAGCACATCCACAAACCCTTATGCCAGGTGCTCTCACCAATACAAAGTTATCACACTGATATCACACAATTCACACTGTGGGCTGAGAAAGTCCATGTTCTCCTAGTTCTTCCATACTCTTAGGCCAATAAAAGCAAAAAAAAAAAAAATGCTACTAACCTAGGAGGTGGCTTTCCTTTGGCTTCACACTGTATTACAATATTCTCTCGAGGGTCAACAATGTAATCTTTTGGAGATTGCTGAGTTATCGTAGGAGGTTGTGACACTTCATTATGAAATACAACAAAGAGAGATGATTTGAACAATATTTTCAAAGTATTACCAAGACACTTTTGTAAGCAAAGAAAGAACAACTGCAGTTAGGAAGCAAATCATTGACAGAAGAGTGGGATTAAAGTATCCATTGTACCAGGAGGCTGAAGCTCTCTACCCTTGTAAATCAGTGCAGCTATACTTACTTCCAGCTGAGCTATCCTGATTTACAGTGGATGAAGATCTTGGCCAAAACATTTAATGAAAAGATCATTTCTATACCTCAGATTTCAACAGGAAGGACACTCAAATTCTAAGTCCAACAAATCTGAAATCGAGAGTTGCAAGACATAAACCTCCACAAAATGGTTTTTTACCACAGAGAAGGAAAAAATATAAAAAATATACATTGCTTTGTGCTCCTAACATTTTGCATATTTTCAAATTCTCTGTGAGAGAGACCTTTCCACACATTTATTTTCCTTAATATATTGCATTAATCTACAAAGCATGCTTTTAAGAACTACTTTTCAGGAGTAAAGAATGTGTTATAAGCAAAATACGCTGTTAAAAATGACAAAAATAGTATCTAGTTTCCAAATAAAGTAAACATGTAGGAAAAGTAAAGCACCAATTCCCCTTAAGAAATCCATTAAAAATATAGTCTTGTGAACTGTTCCAGGAGAAGCAATCATTTAACATTTGTCATTTTTCAAGTACTATAAAACAAGTAGTACAGGACAAAATTGATTCACCTGACAAAGTAGTTGGTGTCTACCTATGGTAATTTATAGTCTATTACCATTATCTATGCCCATTTTTGCATTAAAAAACACTGTGATATTAAGATAGTGAGAAAGGTGTCTTCCTCAACATTATTCATATGTTTATAGTTTAGTGTCACCTGAATAAACCTGTTTAATAATATGCCCATGAACATCCCCATCTAAGTGCTGTAAATCAGCTGTCCAGCAATACCCTTTGCCTGTGCTTTGGGGTAATTTCTAGCCACTGGAACAAAATATTTCAATCATTAGAGTTAGCTGTGTTCTCATGCCTCACTCCAGACAGTTAAAATTCTACAACTGGGATTTTTATTTAAGTCTTGCTTAAGGATACCATTACACTTTAAGTACTCCTTTGCACAGACAGAGGTAGCTGTCTGTAAAACTCTACCTGCAAGAAACAGCAATGAAAAGAAATCATATCATGGAACCATAACAAAACACAGCAGCCAAGCAGAACAGAGCAGGCCACAGAACTGGGTTCTGCTCCTCACTGCACAGGGGAGAAGCTTTGAAAGAGGAAGGCAACATTTTTACATGATGCCTTTATGTGTATTTCCTTAGAAGTACTTGAAGACAGTCCTTTTCCCTCTCAGAGGCATTTCTCAGGGTCAGTATATATCAGAAAAAGCAAATTCACTCTGAAAAAGGATATGACACAAACACTGCCCAGCCTACAGGATATTCCATCTGACGCACATCAAAGACCTGCAATCTCCACTGCCTGCCGTGTTAGGGACTGCACTTAAAACTGATTAAATTAACCATAAAACTAAAGCTAAGTTAGAACCCATAAAATATGAGGTCTACTTAAATAGCTATACCCACTGTAGATATAAAAATATGTCAAATCAGATATGTAAAATAGTACAAAAGTACATATATTCCAATAAATTTTTTTATCAAATATATTTACTCCTGAAAGTAGTAATAAAACACTGCACAAGCTGATATTGAGTGAAGATTTTAATGTTCAAACAGCACACCATCAAAAATCACACAATTAATTTATCTGGAATATCAGAATGTTGTTTTATGTACATTAGTATTTCCTGAACACTGCATGCATAAAACATCTAGACATAGCAAACCAAATTATCAACAAGATGTCAGAATCACACATTTTTGGACTGCAAATTCAATTTGCAGCACAATCTGTTTTAATTTTCAGCAGCACGCAGCCTATTTTTAGTGAAGAGTAACTTACATTCTTCTAGAAGTTTTGCTTTTATTCCCACATCAGAATCAGCAGTTGAATGGACAAATGGAGATTAAAGAGAAACATTTGTTAGTGAAGAGAAAATTAGCAATTTTGAGAGGGAAGAGATGTATCTCTGACAAGTACATTGGTCACCATTAAAAAGAAAACATCTAAAACATTCAGCACTGCAACCCAAGCAACGACGCCTGAAATTCCAACCACAATTTCCACTGTGTCAGATATTACTACATTTATCTAAAGCTCTTGGCATGAGAAACTTTCCTGAAGTGTTGACTTTTTTAAGGCAACCATGCTATGTGGTTTTGGCGTTGCAAGGACATAAAACAATAATACTGAGGTGACAGCAGCAAATCAGAATTAATGGAGTGTGCTACGCTCATGCTGCAGTCAAAATCAATCCACCCATATGATCACATGGAAGAACAAAGAGAATGCTCCAGGCTAAAATTACTCTTGTAAAGACAAAAGCATCTAATTCTACTCAACAGACTTGCAACTCTTTTTGGTTTGAAAAATAACTAAACAAAAATAATCATCTGAACTGTCAGATCTTTATTGCTTAATTTCAATGTTTTGCATAAACATAAATTTATGTCTCTTTATCAATAGGCCAAATGTCCCTGAGTCCCCTACACTTTCAGTCATTCCTGGCCTGCTTTGAGGAAACACTGACTAGGAACTACTGAACTTGCTATCAACAGGGATTTCTAACCTGGAGGAAATCTAAATATTGAACCAATCAAGTATGTTCTCACCACCAGGTCTCTATGGTGGATATTCAGGGAAGACCCACAACAAAATCTAAGTCCTTCCCTTGTGGTGCTCTCCCAGAGACCATTCTCATCATTATTTATGAAAGCAATACCATTATTCTAGATACAATTTCCGGCTAAAAATTCAAGGATGTGACTTTATCAGACCTCACAAACTCATTAAGAATGAAGTAGAAGGGAATTAAATTCTCAGTACAGAATTAAAATGATACATCCAAAAAGGCTATTCATTTTTGTCTATTGATGCATTTCTGGTAAATTTAACCCAAAATCTTGCTCTTAAAACAACAATATTAAAGAGGTGCAGAATTTATATTAGTTGCTAAACTACAAGATAGGTTTAAAAGACTATTTATAGCCTGCAAAGATGTTTAAGGAGAAAAATTAAGTTTCAAAAATAACACATTCATTTATTCATCAAACTTTCAAAGCCTTCCTTAATCCACAGCTTATTCCTCTAAGGGCATTTACAACACAACAAGTTGGATGTGATTCAGATATATTGATTTTGTTACAGAAATACAGGTCATTGGTTTGATAGGCTTGTAAAATGCAAGGGGAAAAAAAAACCACCAAAGCACTTGCAAAGTATGTCAATGATTATTAAAGAAAGACATGCATTTCCGGAAGGCAGAAAGGTATCAAAACCACAGGTAAAGAAAGGTAAAGAAAACCATGCAGATTAGAATCACAGGCAAATTTACTGATGTATTAATCCATCAATTAAACCCCAGCCCTAATGTTCTCTTCCCTGGAAATTAGTTTAACAAATGAATCATCACTGAGAGGTGCAACATGGTTCACTGAATTCTGAAAATGTGATCGTGTTCATCTTAGAAAGAAAACAGCAACCTGAAACATGAGTGATTTAATAAAATTAGTTATTGAGAATATAAAATGCAGCAGCTACATTGCTTCCTTTTCAGCATGAAGTGCTACCTTCAAGGTTCCCCACTAACAGAGTCTTATATCAGACAAGAACTTCAGATTGTGGGATTTCCCCGCCTCATGTGTTAATGCTGGAGTTCCCTGCCCAGCACATTTCGAACATGTTTCTAAGTAAAAGTTCTTAACTGTTTTCAGGCACTACTTAAGACATCTAAGAGCCTTACCCTTTTGCATTAAAAAAAAAAAAAAAGAAAGATGCTTTGAGTGTCTGAATTTTAGGTATTTGAATTTCTTACTAGCCGTCATATCAGCTTGTGGGAACCTCTTCTCTGTAGGTAAGTGATTCCTTACAGCCATTAGGAATTGTCCTGGGATTTTTAAAAAATTATCAACATGATCTTAATTTCACAAATAATTAGCATTTAGCAGGGCTTTTCTGGCCTTCTTCAGTTTGATCAAACAAAAGCACACTGAAGTGTAAGTAGGATTCTGCGAGAATCCTGTGTTACACCTCCTCAACTGAACAATGTAACTCATTTTATATGCACAGGTTTTGAAAATCTTCAGTAAGTCAGTGTAAATATTCATAAAGTCCTGATTTAAGTAACCAAACACATTATTTTTAGCTCCATGTTGGAGTTATCTTCAGCTTCCTACAGAAATTATTTAATTACTCTTCCATTATTCTGCACGTATTTATCAGGTTAGTACTTACAGTCAAGAGGTACATCCAGTGCAAAAATAATTTGGCACAGAAAGAGGACCAGGGAAGTTTTGCTTGTAGGTATGCTCATCTTTTTCATCATGATTTTGGGCTGTACTGAGTAAATCACACTTGAAGAATGAAGTTCAACTTCGTAAGACTAGATAGCTGGCAGTAGTTATGTAGGTATAGACAAGAAACCTGATAAATAAAAACCAAAAGAACGATATGCAGATATAATGGAGAGTTAAATGATCACATGCATCTTAATATTATGAAATACAAGCAGTCTAAATACTATATCTAAAGACAAGAGTTACACCATGCATTCTACTGAAATCCAAGAAATTCACAAGTTCTTAGGTCATCTAGATGACCTTTCTTAAAGAAGCTAGTGAAGAACTCCTACAACCTTATTGAACAGAAATACAAATGCCTCTCCTAAGAAGGATAAAGCATCAGTCAGTCCATCTAGTTAAAAAAAGAGTATATACTAAAGATAACTGTCCTCTGAAGTAGATTTAGAGGATTAAAGCTCTGAATGCCCACCTAGTCTCTCCTTCAAACACCCTACACCATTCTTGGAAAGAGGCATTTTAGGCATTTACTCCAATGAAAACAAGTCAAGCCATGAATTTGCCACGTAAACTGTGGAATCTTTCTGCAGCTTTGAGTTAGGTATCCCAGCATCTTGCAACTTTGGACCTCTTTCTAATAAGACAGCTGTAGATTGAATACAGAAGACTTCATGAAGGTGCAAAGGTGCTATAGTGTACTGTACCTAGGCTCCTGTTTCTGGATATCTGATTCCTCTCAAAATAGGTAACATCAAAATGCTTTGTCATTTCTAGCCTGAAACCAAAATATAATTAACTGTAAGCATATTCTCAAACACTCTTCTCCTCCTTTCATATGTGACAAACTATTGGAAATGAAACTTAAGTTCTTTGAAAAGTGTCAGATTTCCCCCCTGAGCCAAGCATGAGAGATCACATTAGCCATGCAGAATGATTCTGGTTCCCTTCTTATTTTCTACATTCAGGACCAAGCTGTAGCTGAGAATGTTGGAGGAGTGAAAACTATCTGCCTGTAAGCCCCATGAGCATCACCAGTGACCTACAAAGAGCTATGCAGCCCTAGAAACCCAAACAGTGCTTGCACAATGCACTCTCAGTGAATGAACATCCACTGAGAAAGTACTTCCCAGATGGATCAGAAAGTTCACAGTGACTAATTCACCTTGAAGAGAACACTTGCTCAGCTCTGGCTACAGATATGAAACACAAAGCTATCCACAAAGAGTTAAAGCTGCAAAGAAGCAGCTACATTACGAACGTTAAATTAAGAATTGTTTGTGCTTCCTGAAGTTACTTAAGCCAGACTATGGTAAGAATTTCCCTCAATTTTCACATTACAGAAGAAGTTATGCCTCTTAATTGCTGCTGTAAATTATCTTTCTCTTTGTACAGTCCTCTGAGCGAGACTGGAATTAGAAACTAGAATTGAGATGTGGAGCTCTACTTCTCATCCTAACCTGATTCTTACTGTCACTATCTGCAAAACAGATTTTTCTTTCAAAGTAAGAATGTTCCAGTAGGTTAATGTTCTAGACATGTACTACTTGGAGTTGTTGGGAACTGCTGACTGGGGCATCACGGGACAGGGCAAGCTGCTTATTGACATTCCAAACTATCTCTAGGACTGCATACTGTAATGTAACGACTAATTATTTATCATGGCAGATTAGAAAAACTACAAAACGCATCAGAAGAGAGGACACCATAGTTCCGTATAATTATTTATACAAACTGGAACTGCACAAGCAGTCAAGGTGGCATGCCAACCTAAAAATACTCAGAAAGGGGTTCAGACATAGAAGGAAAGCATGAAAAATACTCAGACTTTCCTAGAAAAACAAACTGAACTTTGCTACATTTTAAATAAGCACCCTAAATTGCTGGGGGTTGATCTGGGGAAAGGTGAGAAGTGTTTTCCCTATCCCATTTTGGCACATACAGTTTACTACACTCCTGCTGCAGCGAGCAAGGGGAAGGAGTAGAGCTTCTGTCGAGAGTGCCTGAGAACACTCCAGCATGTTTCCTGCAATGAAGTGCTCTCCAGAAAAGCTGATTTTATTCCAGCAACCACAGCTGTCTACTCTTCTCAGTTAAACTAGGTTCTCACCCACTGTTCTGATTAATATGTCGTCTCCTCATTACAGTATCACTGCAATTATCAAGGTGCCCTCTCTGTGCCATGACCTGGGATTTACAGGATACTCTTTGAAGTATTGCACGCACAAGTGAACCTTGACTTCTATTGTTTCTTCTCCATGGAACATTTCAGTTCTCCTTCCAAAACCCTGAAAACCTGATTATCCACTTTATTGTCTTGTTCTTTCGACATGTAAAATGAGTATTGCAGTGATTTGACAGCATTGTAAAATCAAACTGCATTTGCTTTGAACAAGTACAAATGAATACACAAGCACTGATGAATCAGGCAGGGGCAATTAAAATGATTGGGAAAGTAATACTCTTGAGAAATTGTCTCATATTTTCTACCTCTGCTACTGCAAAGTTCCAGTTGGATACCAATTGAATCTGCTGCTGGGATGTTTGGATATAATATGGGAATTCAACCTCAGAGAGCCAATGTGCCCAAAGGGTTTGTGACAGAATATTACTGGAAATTATTTTAGGTTCGTCAGCACAACTGGGTGCTTGTGCTGAATATATTCAAGATTAAATCTGGCATAATTTAGTACGAATACAACAGCTGCTATGTAGAACTAAACATTGCTTTGACATAGCATTATCTGCTACAAAATAAGGACAGGCCTCTAAGCACAGATCAATGTAAAGGCTTCAACTGCGAAACCTGAAATACTTATACAGCAGATTGCCTTTTCCTCCAGATAATTTATTTATGATCTCTTGTAACTGAGACATTTTTTTCAACCTTTTCATAGGAAAACACATATATTGTGACAGTTTGGTCAGGAGTTTGCTCACCAATTTGTACAAAATATGATTTTCTATACCTGCATACCTATGTACCTAACAAAGTGTCACTTGGTATGACTTCTGTGCTTCTTGATGAGATGCTAACTAACAACATGGACTAAGGGTTGAAGCTATGGGATACCAAACAGGAGTCGAGTTAAATAGAAATGCATAGGCAAAGTGCAAGAGTATTTCATCAAAAAGTGTAATTTCAGAAGGCAAGGGTTTTATGTACTTATTACAAAAGAACCAGGATCAAGTGAGAGAGATTGTCCTTTTTTCACTTGGAAAAAAAAACTCAAACAAACAAACAAAAAATTACTTTTTAAAAATGACCCACAGAAAGCCACAATTAGACGAATGAAGGCACCTGAGGTGAGCCTGAGGTAGACTATATGGCAGAATATCAAGACAGAGTTGGCTCCCAGTGGTCTCTTCACTGGGACCATTTGGCTATAAACAGCAAAACCACATACTTCACAAACACTGAAGGAGCTAGGAAAAACAACATGTATATGGAAGGGATAATTTGGAAGGCAGAATTCAAGATTCTTTTTGTACATCAAAAGGGACAAGAATGTCCATGATTTTAAGAGCTCAAGAAAAAATGAAACACAGAATTGTTAAGGTTGGAAAAGACCTTTAAGATCATCAAGCCTATCAGCCCAGCACTGCCAAGTCCAACACTTCACTATGTTTCTAAGTGCCACAGCTACATGTGTTTAATTACCTCCAGGGATGAGAGCTCAACCACTTCCCTGAGATGCCTGTTCCAGTGCTTCATAATTGTTTCAGTAAAGAAATTTTTCCTAATATTTAATCTAACCCTTCTCTGTTCTCTCTTGTCCTTTTGCTAGCTGCTTGGGAGAAGACACTGGTACATCGTGGGTTACATCCTTCCCCTCTACTGAAGGAGTGTCCATCCTACCTACTCACTCTGATACTTCCTGAATTGTGTCCTGGCACCACAGAATTACAATTGGGTCAGGTCAGTATTTGCCAAAGAGAGTGTTAACAAGTGAACAGTATCCATGGCTGTAGAGCAAACAACCACACACCCACACATGCACACACAGAGGATATTTCACTATGCTACACCAGTACTGAGTAATATTGATTTCTGATTGGAATATTAATACAGACAGACACACTATCAATTGACACCTCAAAGCTGAGTCAATTGAGGCTCCAAATGACAGAGAGGACACATTTTTCCTCTGGCTATCTTCAACAGAAGCATACAACAAGTTCAATTTCCTTGTAAGTGCTGCTGCAATATTTCTTTTTCAGGATGTAAGAGTGTAAGGAAGTGTGTTTACTGAAATTCAACCTAGTGCAAAGTTAGACAGCATTTTCTAAACTTAATATTGTTTCACAGACATTTGATGCATCACTGATTATGCATTTCTCTTCAATTACATTATTTTTAAGACAAAAAGGTCTTTAGAAATGTGAACAGAAACCAAGGTCAGTGTAAGAAATGTGAAAGGGTTATTAAATTGCATGACAGAACAACTGGAATATTTCATACACATTAGGAAAAAAAGCATTATCTTCTATATAAACATGATTGAATTAATGCAGTACAAGTTAGACACTGGAGATTAGAGAAAAACTATTATTTAGCAAAAAACTTCCTCTGCCTCATTTGTCTAATGCCTCTATTTTTTTTCTCACAATGAAAGACAGATATAATTAGAATACAGGAAAAATAAACAGTTTTCAAGGAAATTTATTTCATAGCAGTCTTATATCCACAGAAACATGAAAAGCAATTTCAAATGGCATAAATGTATTTAATGATTTGTACATTTTAAAAAAGTGTTGACGATTATAATCAAAAAGCACAAAATGCTTGTTTTTGAGGACAACAGCAATACCTTTATCACTTAATAGAAGGTCTTTACAGGACTTATGTGTTTTACACAACTATGCTAACTATGCAAGTATTAATAAGATGATTTAAAATATTTTAGAACAAATGGTTTCAAATTTCACCCTCCTTTTTTAGGTTATCTTGTATTTTCAATAATAGGCCACATAAAAAACACTAATTAGAAACAACTATTTAATTAAAATCTATCAAATAAGAACAGGAAACAATGGACTTAGCGTTATACTACCTAAGCAGCAAAGACACAGCACTACTAAAAACACTAATGCTGTATAACAAGAATAATTCTAACAGTTTTTATG